GCAGTATACATTGCCTCGGATTGGACAAACGAAGGTTGGTGGACTAGGAAGGGTCTTAACCGCCCTCGATAGAAAGTTGCTAGTAGGAAGCATCGTACGGGAGAAAAACTAACTTTCCGTGTCAAGCCGTAGTAAACAATAGTCTTTGGAAACTGATTTAGAAAAGACATTTGTTGGGTCTGAAGGACCTTAGTGGGCAAGTGACTCGGGTTTATGACGGGTGCTTATTGAGGATACGCCGTATGGAAGAGCGGACATCTGGTGTCCGTCTGGCCCGCGGTGTGTGACCTGGGCCAGGCAGAGAGTCGCCCGGCGTAACAGTAACAACAAATCTGTACTTGAATAGTATTTTGTAGTATCTCTATAACTATTTAATAAAAATTCGAACGATTTATGTTCACATAATATCTTTCTTATCTTATTCATAAAACACATTGATAGAGTAGGGTTGTGAGAAATATAGAAAGAAGATTCCATTCGTTAATTACAAAATCGTTCACATTTAATCTTTGCGTATTAAAATTAATGTCTATAGAAATATTCTCAGAAAGAGAATTATCCGTTATGTTTCGCTATGAGCCATTCTGTTTCATTCTGTTTCTTCTTTAAGCTTCTATCATCCCGTCACAACTTCCGGTTTAAACTGTTCCAGAGCCAGTACCTGAGAGTAATGTCCCTCGATTGTTCCTCTCGAAGAGCCTCAACTTCATTTATTGGTGAAGTTGAACGCTTGATTGGAAAGTTAGTTATGAACGATTTAACATTTCCCGCTCAAGTCTTTCCTTAAATTTTCCGCGAAACATCTCATTATCGCATTTAAGCTTTTACCTTATCGATATTATCGATCAAACCTTTTTTACTACACATAGAGTAACAAATATCATAAATAAATAGAAAAAGTTCTTATATTTGATTCAATTTGATTTGCTTCAATCAGAAAAGAAATATGACTCGTCCCAAATGAGTAAATCCATCTTTTACTACATATATAATCATATTTTATGGATAATCCTCAAATGAACGAATATAGAGGGTGTCCAAGACACTAGGCTCGAAAGATGTTGCAGCAAGGATTATTTGCCGATGCAATGATGGGCTGACAAGTATTTGCCAGTAAAATAAGAGGCTACTAAATGTAATTAGCCCGTAAGAAAAAGGATGACGAGGATCATTTGCAAGTATAAAGAATTGTGATATTTACTAGTGAGTACAAAACTGAGTGTGGTTGATGTGAATATTTCTGAGTTGACAATGGGTCAAGTATCGCAGGACTGGTGAAGAACTATTGATGAACACTAACCCCAAACTACTCTAAATGAGGCTCTTATAGTCCCCAATACGAGAATTTTTGGCGTGGGAGAAATACACAGATTGGTGGTTTCAACATGTTGAGCTTGCAAAGATCGTGGTCAGTTCAATACGACTGGTAAAACCTCTTCTGCAAGTGGCTACCCCCACGTTACCGACCCTCGAGGTTATGGGGCGACTCGTGAGGGCCTGCACGGGTATTGCATGTGTTTTTGCCAGCGATCATAACACGCAATGAAAGCTTATGAAGCGCGTACTAATACATGCTGGATGTTTTAAGGTTTCGTAAGGTTATTGATGCTGGGAAAGTCAGAATTTCTTAGATTTATAAACGTATAAAGATATAAACGCGTAAAACTATGAATAAATAAAGGAGACAAGGACTGATATAAATTCTGAACATGAGATGAGCATAAGGAGAAATTCTGACTTGGAATCTAAAACTTTGTATATAATAAAACTAACTGACTGTATATAATATAGACTGACTGAATATAATAAAAAGACTGATTCAGCGCATTAAAACAAGAAGCAAAGTTCATATAAACACACATCCGATATGATCTGGTTTTCGAGTTACAACGTATTTTATAATGCTGGACATTACTTAGATGAACGATTTCCTGGCAAATGGTAAAAAATGGTGTTGACCTTATTTCCTGACTAGCTCGCTCTTCAGACCTGACTCTATTCGGTTATTAGTTAAAGGATTGGGTTGGAGTTTACGTCAGTATTTAAAATCCCTTGTTTATAGAACGTCAGTTGATAATGTTGAAACTTTTCGTCAACGTGACAGTCCTAAGTTTCCGATAAATCCGTGTAAGCTGTTCGAACAAGTTCGACAATTTGTGATGCGATGCACTCACGATCCTATCGAAGCTGGATGTGGTCACTCAAGATAGATAAACAACTATTACAACACGAAACAAGCTGTTACTCGAAAACAAGGTCATATTGGGTATACGTTTAGACGAACTTTTCTTTTTATTGTAATGTGCTAAATCAGCTGCCGCTGAGTTTTCCACATGCTCCGACTCGGCTTGTGTAATAAAATATTACGTAATTATGTTATACGATGATATTATACGGTGAAATAATATTTTAAACTTGTACAGTCCAAAGGAATATTAAACGTTTTGCATCAAATTAACGTTCGGTAATGAGGATTTCAGAAGTTCTATGATGTCTCTACTTTAATGTTTTGCAGCATACAAACAGATAGTAATGTTCCGTTTCCAACAAAAGAGTCGCAGAGTAAACGTTCCCTTTTTGTCTAAAAATGCATTTTCCAACGAACAAACAGTTCCATCATGCTTTCGCGATTAATAGCATAACACGTAAGTACGAAAATCCTTTTACGATATATGTGATCGAAATAAGCGAAGTAATTTTGTAGGTAATTAACCTACTTTTGCAACTTCTATGTTTCTGTTTCTACTAGTATTTAGTTGCTGTATAAGAAACAGTAAGTAAAAGCGTCACATTATGTACTTCATATTTCTTACGTCAATTCACTTAGAGTTATACAATGACAATCGCAAGAAAGAACACTTAGAAAATACCAAAAGAAATTCTGTAATTTTAAACCTTGACAATATATATTTATAATTAAACAAATCACGGAACAATAATTAACAGAAGCAATAAGTAGATATAATACAGCAAAGACTACCGTAGTCTTGTAGTAACAACTACAACGTAATTAACGAACTTCTTCATCGCAGTCATCAGAGAAAAATTATCAGAATTCGATGAAAGATGGCATCTTCCGTTCTTTTCGAGCGCTTTCTGCTCGCACAATCTACGCTACAGCAAACTTCTTTGTTTCTGTGTTTGATAACGCGCTGTCCGTGCATCTCGAACGACTTCGAATTGTTCTCGAAGGCAAAGGCAAACGCCTTTAAGGATCGCGATGTCGCCGAACGATAATGGCGCACGACTGTTTGTCAGAAAAGTATCGGAATCAACTTGAGTAGTGATAAACAGAAAAGAAGAGAAAGAAACAAGAATAGTGGAAACTGCTTCGCTATTGTTTCATACGATTTTCTCGACGTTATTGTTTTGTATGTCGTTGCCACGAACTTTTACAATTACACACTGCGAAACATCTTGAAAATCTTCCTGATATTCTTCGATTGTCATACGTATCTTCTCGATTGTATACACTTCAAAAGTTACGTTCGTCTAGTTTCTTTAATCGAATTATCGACTGTTACGGTGGAAACATAAAATCTCGAGCTATTACGCGGATGATAAAAGAAAAGAGTTCACGGAGAGACCATCAAAATTTAATCAAAAATATCCTTCAGAAGTAAGAACTTTAAGATTATTTATGGATTTCTATATAAGAGGAGTTGTAATAGAGATAAAATAGCCCATATTAATTTTTCAAATTAGCCTCGGACTTTAATAATTTCTAACTTTGTAACAAGTGAATTGAAGTGATTTTTCGTGTTACTTTGAGTTTCATATGTTTAATGTCATACGTTCGTTACGTACTATTACATATTACAATATTTGAATCCCTTTTGTATACGTGCATCTTACAATTATTACACAACATTCTTGCAATATACGCGATCATGTAGCCTTAGTACCTTTTTATTTTGTAATTTACTGATTAAGAGGAAACATTTATACGTTACCCTGTAAACGGTACATAATTTCTGATGAATTTTCTGGGCGATAGAAATCTTGTATTATCTATAGCGTTTAATTGCTCGGATGAGAGTATAGCGAGTGACAAATTCTGGAAGAATAAACTTTTGGGTTCTTGTGAGTTTTGCAAAGAATAATAAAATAGAAGCGTTTTGATAGAAGAATAAGATACGTAGAATAGTAAAACACAAATACTTTCGTCATACTCTTATCATATAATTATGACTTATCATAATTGACTATTAATATATCATTAATAGTGAATAATTTAGTTTGTGGTTATTACATACAAAAGACACGTAATATGCATATATATAGGTATGAGGATACATCAGGCATAAACAATACCACGTGTTATTACTTACGTGTGTAGATATATATGTATATTTGTATTTTCGACCAATCGCGAGGAGTTGCAATCGCGAGGAAACACGTCAACGGGAGTCGTAAATTCCCGTTACGATTACAATAATCGACGCCGCGAATAGATCGATCCCCTGATTTCCGTTGAGATAATAGGGTGGTTGAGGTGGTATAACGCTGCGATTAACAGGGTTGTAAAGTTTATATTTCCAACACTTAAGGGTAACACTGAAGCGTATGTACAAGTTAAGTAAGTGATTGATTTAAGGATAGTAACCCGGTAATGACATGTTGACTATTCTAACGACGAAGAATAAGTAAAGTACAGTGACGATGCTGCGTCGAAGGAAAGCTAGCGATGGGTGTGTCTAGCGCACGGGACCATCGGATTTGTTGATGACAATTTTGGTTAGGAAAGTGAGGGCAGTAGACATTGCTTCTGATTGGATAAACGAAAGTTGGTGGACTAGGAAGGGTCTTAGCCGCCCTCGATAGAAAGTTGCTAGTGGGAAGCATCGTACGTGAGAGAAACTAACTTTCCCGTGTCAAGTCGTAGTAGACAATAATCTTTAGAAAACGATTTAAAAAAAAGATATTTGTTCGGTCTGAAGGACCTTGGCTAGAAAATTCCTGAGGTTTATGATGGGTCTGTGGCGGCACTCAACAGCAAATACACCACCACTCGATACTAACTAGTGTCGGACGACGGCAGCGCAGTGGTTGACGCCTTAGGTTACGAACGTTGGGAACCCGGGTTCGAATCCCGGCCACCGGAGTCCGATTTTTCTTCCACGAATTTAGATTAGAAGAAAAACAACAGTACCCTATCAGCGACATCTACAGCCAGCGCAATAATTATCACGGACAACACTTTTACACCTCAGGTCCTTAAGACTATTGAGGGTACGCAGTAAGGATGAGCGGACATCTGGTTCCCATCTTGTGTGGCCTGGTCTAGGTAGAGTGTCGCCCGACATAGCAATATTTATATATACACATTGTTAAATGTAAACAACATATATCAGATAATAGCGAAAAAAGTTATGTGATGACGTAACAGCAAAATTTTTCATTTGAAAGTTAGACTTTTAAGAAAAAAATAAACAAACCGCTGTGAGCTGTAATCTTGATAATTGATAATAAATCAAGCAGTTTACATTTCTACATCACCAGTAAATCTGTATTTTACTATCGATAATAATTCTAATCTTCTGATCACTTATGTACATCTTTTTCCTTCATATCTTTTCCCTTTCTCAACGCGAGAATTGATTGTAATTTTAATAAATAAATAAAAGAAAAAGTTATCTTTTTCCTTCAGCCATCGTAATTGATTCAAGAACAAAATGTTGACATTAGGATAGATAATAGCACGATGGATAATAAACTGTAGTGCGTTAGTAGTGTCGGGGGAGGATGATAACCATTTACGAAAGGTATAAGGAGGAGCTTTTTAGTGAGTCGGAATTAACATCTCGCTAGCCCCACATATCCTATTAGTTCGAGTTAATGGGTCCCTCGAAAAAAGAAAGTAAGAAAAAGAAAGAAGATGATAACCTAGTCATTTCCATATTGACATTATTATTATATATGTATATAGTCTGGTGTAGATAGGGTCGACTGAGGGAATTCTACATAAAGTTTATTTCACGAAATAACCAGAATTTTATGCCGCCAAGAACTGTAAACGAGAGACTCATGCTTGTATGAAAAATGAAAACTGCTCACATCGTTAAAGACTAGGAAAAACTGATGCCGCCAATGTTACAGAAAGGATTAACATAGACACGTGGAATATTTAACGCGATAATCTCTTTTCATTTTCCTGTCTACCATTCGTTCTGGCATATTTCTCTTTCTTTCGCGTAATTCCTCTTTATTTTTGTCGGTCTGCAATTTCGTTAGCCTATTTCCAGAAACATTTATCCTTGTTTTTTCATCGTCTAATTCTACCTTAATAAAATTAACCGGATATAGCGGTACTTCTCACGGGCCTGAATTCTCTGAATTTACTCCTTCCCGGATAAACGATAGCTAATCCCTCTCATGGGATTCCAGAGCACAGATTTTCGGTCTCTCTGCATATATTATACGTAAACGTGATATTTACTCTGGGGAACAAAGATTTCCTTGAGAATATCCAGCCGGCTTCAGGCTCGCCTGAGTTTATTCCGCTCGATTTTTTGACGTCGCGCGTACACCATTACGCTCTTTCCTGTTTGCATGGCCCCTCGAAAACCAGAAAGAGAAACCTCGCGTTGAAAGTGGATATCGCGATTGTACGAAACTACAGGTATATCATGTTATTTATAAAAGGGGAATGGACTGCCAAAAGTAAACGCAAATGAAACGATACGAAATGTAAGGTAGAAATAAGAACATATCTTCAGGAGTACTAAACTTTGTTAAGACTAAGGTCGAATTATATAGAAGATTTAAATAGGTGTATTGAGTTATACGATTATCCATAAACATTGAAGAAATATTTATAACAATGTTATTAATCCCTTTATCACTAATAACAATTTAATCCTTTTATTAATATAATCTAATATGTATACTAATGATGATTATATTTACAACGTCGAAGGCTTGACAAACTAAATAAAAACCACGAGCGAAGAGCACGATAAGCAAATTTAAAATCTAATAACCAATTCCGTTTTACCAAACTATCGTCAAACCTATATTTATTTGACCGTGAATGTAAATAGGTATGTATTTTTTCACCTCATTTATATACAACATATACACCTCCATTCGATTGTTTTGTACGATGTTCAACGTACGAAATCTTGAAAGTTACATGTACGATGTTATAAGATAATTACTGACAAGCAACTGCATTAAGCAGAGAACGATGCGTTATTTTGCTTTTCTCTTCGTTTTCGTTAGCTACTGGTTTGTATAGAAATGTGTGTAAACGAGATAGGCACTCGAGCATCTACAAGTCGAATTGGTACCTCTTATCTCTAGGCCTTCGTAGCCGGCGCTTTATCTCGTCCTTGGCCGATTCGAACTTCCAATATGAATAGGATATAAAACGCAACATGAATAAATGTCCGTTAAATGAAGTTTTTCCTCGTGAAGCCGAAAATGTTATTTGATGGCACAAAAAAGGAAAAATCGTATAGTATCGTAAGTCGTTTTCATACAAATAAGAAAATTTCGAAACAAAACTACGAACATAAGATAACAGATTAACAGATTAATGAACTTAACGCTTATAGATCAAGGTAAAATTTTACATGTTTTAATATTATTTTTCTATATACATATCACGTTGTTATATACAAACGATAATTTTTTCTGCTCTTCTACCCATCTTTTTACCCATACTTCTTTAATGTTATACATTTTTAAAATTGAAAACTTATTTGCCCTGATGAATTTTTATCCGCGCTGGCTTATAAATTATTAAAACTTCTAGCCGAAGAAAATAAACATGAATGAAGTCAAAGATATAAAATTGTTTCGGAAGATTTTAATGTAAAATGAATAAAAAATATTGACCAAAAAGAAAACTTTTCTGAGAATAAATCTATGAAAACATCATATAAAAACTTATAAATTATTCTGAACAAATTAATTTATTAAAATGATCGAAATCTTGTACGCAATACTTACGAATATAAATCGTATATGATTTAAGGTGAGCAGAGAGATTTTAACAGCTCCTATCAATTTTTCCAGTGGTTATAACATTTTGCCACCAGGAAGCAGACTTCTTCAATATTCGTGGTCTCTTTGGATCTTTGAAGTCGACAGAGACGATACCAAAATATTCGCTAGAAATTATAATACGTACTATTAGTCGTTTCCATTGGCATGAATATCCTGTAAGTTCTCAAAAAAGATATTTTGCAACATATAAAGTGCAGATCGCTCAGGATACTTGGCTTCTGTACTTATAAATATTAATATGCAGACCTGTATCTTTTATTTAAATCTGTATTTACTGTGTTTCGTGTGTTTTGATAATTAATTAATTAAAAAAAAATGAATAAATTGACGATGTTAATTTTATATCTACGGTTCTAGACTATTTTATGATGTAAAAAAATCACTGTACTCTCATGTTAATTTCATGATCGCTTACCTGTATCCCCTGTCCCATTCGAAATTATCCAGAAGCGACCATAACATATATCCTTTTACGTTCACACCATCAACGTGAATGGCGAGAAGCATCTGTCTTAAGTATTCGCGATAGTAGAAGATTCTGTCGTCGTCGTTGAGTGCTCCGTGATCGGAAACACCGTTTTCAGTGATATACATTGGTGGGTTGCCGTAATTTGTCGCCAACTGACGGAGGACATATCGGAAACCTTCAGGTACAACCTGAAACGTGTAACAAAAAATTACTGTAACACGCGTTTTATGCATTAATTATTTTCGTGACATATAAGTAACATATGAATAAACACGTATGTTTGTTTATTAAATTTATCTTAATTTGCACAAAGAAATTTTTACAATTACCAAATTACATGTCGTCTCCTATTACGACAGAAATATAATTATATATATTTATCTATTTCCATAATACCATAATAATCATAATACTTTATGTGTATTATGCATATTTATATTAATTGTTGGTAATTTTTCTGCTAAGAATATAACTATTATCTCGTATAAAGAAAAAGTGTTATTAAAACATACTGTTAAAATATTAGTTCTAAAATATTCCATTTCCCTATAGGATGAAGGATATAGGACGAAGAAAAATTTCAAGTAAAATTTTCCAGTAGAATTTAAAAAGTTTAAATCGCATCTAATTAAATTTTCTCTCGTAACTCTCGATCAATCTTTATTGCTTTCATAACTCGTATAATATACAATACGATAAAAAATCGCAATTATGAAGTTCGAATCTTAAGAATCTTTTCTTTAATAATTCATTCAAACTCTTTTTATCTATTTATTTTTCTTCTTTATTATTTTCTCTATCAAAAGAAATTAAGATCGTTTTTTTAACTACTCAAGTTGCAAACTCAAGACTCAAATGTAAACAGAATACCTTCAACCAGTCAGTAGCTGACGATTTCCACAAACCATCGATAGTCTCTATCACTCCTTGGTCATTTTCATGGGATGGTACACGTCCCATAGTACCAGTTGCAACTAGCCTGGATGTGTAATGATTTACAGCCATAAAGTCTGAGGTTCCACTGTAGCAATAAAAATAATATTAGACATAATTACTGATAGTAGATGTTTGTTTCACCGTACACTCCAATTTCGCTTCAAAAAGAATAAAACAATTCAATACTTTATATATTTGATCCACTCTGCATCGAACGTGGGTAGACGAGATTTCGTGTAACCTTGCTCTGCGCTCTTGTTGGCCACTAATTCTTTCATCACAAGTGGATAATCGCCCTCCTTGGAGTATATCGGGTGCATGCTCCAACCAACGTTGAATTGAAAAGACATTTCCGCAGCATCGGCAGACTCAGGATTTTTCGGCATATAGGCGCTTAAATTGATCAGAACACCAACTTGTCCCCCATAGTTCTTCTTAAATTCACTCTCGTAGATCCTATAGGCTCTGGCGTGCGATTTCAACACGTTATGCATGCACAAGTACTCGCCGAATCCATGTAGAGTTTTACCAGGAGCGTGTATACCAAGACTGTAGCCATTTTTACAAAGAGCGATGGGCTCGTTTATCGGGATGAATTTCTTCACCTTCGATCCATATTCGCGGAATATGACTCTCGCGTAATCGCCGAACCAGTCGACCATTTCATCGTTCAACCAGCCTCCCATTTCTTCTAAAACTTGCGGATGGTCCCAATGGCAAATTGTCAATAATGGTTCGATGTTGTTTGCTATGAGCTCGTTGATCACATCATGATAGTACTGGACGCCATCCTTGCTGATTTTGTTTGGGAAACCCGTCGGCAGGATTCGTGTCCAGCTCACGGAGAAACGGTACGAATTGAACTGTTGAAATGTAAGAAGAAAATTAGCTGGTTTTGTTACTATCTACATATATCGGCAGTTTTCATGACCAAATATCAGTGGTGACTGGTACTTCGATCCCG